CTCTGATTGGTCAGCTCGCCCACTCTGTTCTGATGAGTCTACCACTATGGTCTACCACCGTTACAGCGGAACATCAGTGATTATGTGTTACAATGGCGTTAGGAACCAGAAAATGACAGCAGTAAGAACAGTAAGAGAGTGTGTGAGGAGCTCCACGGATTGGTCCATTTGGAACAATGGGTCCATTTGGGTATGGGCACGTCACTGTACCCAGGAAGAAAACAATGGAAAAAGAGAAATCTCCAATGAGGCGTTCTGGGGCAGCATAGACAGGTATTTTCTGTGTTAGAGTTTTACTCGCTACAGGGTGTACTTTGAGGGTTTGTGACTCTGCAGACTGTTTACATGCATAAAGACCTTCATAACACACAAAGGAACGGGTAATAACCGAAAAAGCATGACATGGGACCTTTAATGTTGTTATAGTTTTGAGGCAACACATGTGGGACGTCTATCAATCATATTCACTTTCTTGTCCCCAGGACTCCGTTCCACGCGGATGTGTTTCGCTCCTACAGCTGGTCTGCAAACATCTGTGGCAGGAAGAAATGGCTCCTGTATCCTCCCGGTCAGGAGGAGTTTTTAAGGGACACTCACGGCAACCTCCCTTACGATGTAACATCAGCTGAGCTTCGAGACAGAACCCTTTTTCCCCGCTCTGAGGAAGCTTGTCAACCTCTTGAAATTATACAAGAGGCAGGTGAAATCATTTTTGTGCCCAGTGGGTGGCACCATCAAGTTTATAATCTGGTAAGAAGTATAAAATCACCAAATGCAAAAATGACTCAATAATAGATACAGCTATTTACCAAACTACTACTTCCACAAATTCTCTCTTAAATGACTGTATTACAGGAGGACACCATCTCTATAAATCATAACTGGTTGAATGGCTGTAACGTAGACATCATGTGGCAGTTCCTTCAGAGTGAGCTATCGTCCGTTCAAAAAGAGATCGATGAGTGGAGAAACACGATGGACTCGTGGCATCAGCACTGCCAGGTACTTCAGACTTTTTAGCTCACATGCTTTCTTGAAACATGCTGCTGCCATGAATGTTAGCAATCTTATATTTAAAGTCATTATTGTTTCTTACTTTTTAGGTCATTATGAAGGCCTGCTCTGGCATTAATTATGCAGAATTTGCCTCGTTCCTCAAAATCCTTGCTGAACACCGGATGACTGTCCTGAATGCCTGTTCTTCTGCAAATTCCTCCGATTACCCTCGGCATCTCTCGGAGACCCTCACCACACTTGGACCTTACCATGCTGCCTTTGACCTCCAAAGAGTGGCTCACATAATTGAATGCCTTCTCTGCAATGAAGATTTTAAGCGGCTCGATCATTCAACTTTGACTTTGCAGCCAGAAACCATGTTACAGCAAATTCGGGACACCATACAATCCACAAGGGGGCAGCATCTCCTTTATCAGGAATAAGATGTGCAGTGTTGTCTCAACAATGTTACCGCCTGGAAATGGCTTGAATGTAAAGTGCCAATATGTTCAGTGGAAATAAGTTAATAAAAGTCTTTCTTCATCTTTAGCTTGAGATGAGTTTTACAAGTTGAATGTTTTCTTTTGCACTGACAGATACAAAAGATAAAATAAAAAATACACAAATGTAATTGAGTTTGTATTGATTTCCATATTTATTCAACAACCACCAATACCAAACGACTGTTCGTACATCCTGTTGTATAGTGCTGCAATAGATTTGATAAATAGAATAATTCTGTCATGATTAATACTTTACATTTGTGTCACTGTAAAACTAGATTTTATATAACAAACAAAACAAAATCACTCAAAAATATGGATTGGTGCCACACAGCTGTTAAGCAATGACAGTGTAACATACTGTACTTCAGGGTTGAGTCTAGGAGAAGTCTGTCAGATTCAATGTGCGTCACATTTTAGGGAACTATAAAACGTCCTTCTCTTCAGTTGTTCTTCACGTCTTTAGGCCACCAGGCTGGCACAGAGGCCTCAACTGCCACTGTGGTGTCATCAGAAGATTTGAGTGTCAACGCTTCTTTGGCATGAGCCATGCGGATTAAGCTCAGACCCAACTCATCAACCCCCGCTCGGTGCTTCCCAGCTGGCTTGCCCGACTGTGTTTGCAGCGCTGCTGCGTCCTCGAGGTCTGAGAGAGGAGCTGACAAGCGTACTGGCATCAGGCGTTTACGGATCACCCCTGTGTGATGAGTTCTGGCTGTGAGCTCCTGGCCAATGTAACAGCCCTTGCTAAAACTGATACCCTGCATGTAGGCGAGATTTGATTCTAGTGGCAGTGCCACCCCAGGGGGAAGGTCCTTCACTCCCTCAGGAAGTCCTAGACAACAATGACAACAGAGGAAGTAAACAAAGTGTCAAGAGAACATGTGCATACACACTCTTAATCCTCGTTTAACTTTTAAATACGATCTGCAAGAATTCTACCCGACCTTACCTATTGCATAGCGATGTCTTTGATAGTCCACCGTGTCACCTTTCTCACATGATGCAATGACATCCAAGGGGTTATCTTGACTGTCCAACACCAATCTCCAGCCCATTTCCTGAGTGCGAGGATCAGCCTCCCATACAAGAGCTTTGTCTGGGGAGGAGAGCTCAGGTTTACCGGCCTCTTGACCTGCTTTCTTTTGCTTTGAGAGCACCGCCCATACAGACAGCTCTGGACAGGGGTTTATGTTGACCTTTCTGCGGAGCTTGTACATCTTCAGATGTCTCAAGATGGAGTCCTTAATTGTGCTGTCACACTCCAAGAAAACGCCCGGCCCTGCATCAGCTTCTTTCAGACTGAAAAGGAAATACAGCAAATTAAGTGGCACACACAATACAAATAAATCATAAAAACTACTATCGGTTAATACAAAACATACTATTGTGATACATTGATAGTTAATCTGACTGGACAAATAGAGATAAGGATTTTAAGGATTTAAGGATTTTTCCTGCAGAGGCTTTTGAATAGCACAAAAAGATGCGTAGGATAGCTCGATTAGAGGTCCAGCTTGCTAGGCAAAGTTACTAAGAACTCAAGTATCACTGGTTACTAAATCCACAGCCAACTAAAATATGTACAGGTCCTTAAAAAGTAACCTCTGTGTATTGCCATCTTTCCATCAAAAAGAGACTTCACTGAGTAATATAGGTTTGCTATGTCTTTTTGTAAAATCACAGAAGCTTACAAAGATATTTCTTTGTTACAATGGAATATCTCAAAAGGTGATTAGCTCCTAATCATCACAGTTTTATCAGCTTCCCCGCAAACAATGGGAGAGAGACAATCCATAAAATAGCTGCTATAAGAAACCAAATTCATATTTTTAATGTGTAATGGAATTGCAACTTATAAGAACGTATCACCATCAGAGTGCTAAATATATTTTGAACTTAGTCCAAATCAGCTGTATCAATATTGTTAGCTAATGTTTAAAGACCCAAATATTCTACATTTGAGTTTCGTTCATGCTGTCTGTCTGGAGCTAGAAGTTATGAGGTTATGTTTGTACAGTACATTTTGGTGGATATTTATTACCATTGTTTTCTTACAGCTATTTATATTTCATTTTAGGGCTTCTTCTGTTTTCAACAAATATTGTTTTTAAAGTTAAGCTGCTTAAGATGCTGAATCTGATGTGACCCCAGTGACTCCAAATTAACGCAGCTATGTAGTTAAACACTGGTAGCACACGTCTTTTATAGGATTGCAGTCCTTTTTCTATATATATATATATATGTTATTGATCATTAAGCAACCTTTTTTATTGAAAAGTAAAAAAATGTTTGTAGCACAAAGGTATTCAAAATAGCATTAGTGTTGTGTCTTTCAAATGTCTGTCACATATCAAACCTAAAACTAGGTACAACACACAGCTGCACCTCTTATACTATTTTGACTGATGTAAATTGTAGACTGTTAATCTCATTAAAAATGACTCGGACTCATTTATGGGAAGCTCAAACACTGTGTTATATTACTTTTTGATCCAGGTTGTATAAACAACACTGGGTTTAAAAACCCTGAGGTTTGTTGGGCGAGTATCTACGCCTGCAACTGCACTCCCAAGATAAGTAGCCGCTCCCTCCTGTGTCCACTGAACACATGCATGTAGTTTAAATAGTATTACAAAAGTACTGCACCTGTACAACATGATGTCAAAAAGTGTTCTCCCTTGTACATTTAGAACATGTGAGTACATGGCTGTGAGTCCAGGCTCCTCCAGCAGATTCATGTCATTGGTTATAATTCCCTGAAGAAACGGACTCGTGTCTTGTCCCTGGATTTTGAGTAAGGTCCTTTGAGGAAGGTGATAGCACACAAACTGTCCTGCAACATTTCTCTCCACAGTGTCCTGGCTGTACCCTCTGACACGGACACCCCCTGGAGCCGAAACACCGGAGAAAAACGTGAGGCACAAATGCCGACCGGTGTATTTTCTGGCGGACGTGAACGCTCCCCTGGCGAAACACAGAACCCCCATGTTGTATAATGTCACAGGAGTGTGTGCACTGTTTAATGTATAGGAAACACTGCCTTTGTTGACTGTGGTCGACGGCTACATAACACAGGACATTGCAGTTGACTCCAGCAGCCGGGGCTCCATTTTGAAATCCCACAATGCATTGCTCGATAATAACACAACAATTGGGTTTTGCCCAGGTTTTGCCCCCCCAGTTACACTATTTTTATGTCTGGAGCATACATATCGTATAAATAAAACTGAATATTTAACAATTATTATAATAACATGAACTTCATTTATTTTGCCGATAAAATAAGTACAGTGACAATTATATTTAGGCAGATGCCCTTTGAACTATATTGAAGTTGAACAATGCTATTTGCTCCCGGGTAACAAAAATGAACAATGCCATTTGCACCCGGTGAGTAGCCTAGTGAACAATGCTATTGGCACCCGGTGATAGTGAATAATGCTGACAAGACAATCATTTCTTTTTTTCTAAATGTTGAAATAAGCAAACAAAACTAAAGGAATATGCAAAGGAGAGAACATTGAGCTAATAAAATGAACAATAATATCGATGTAGCTACATTTGTTAGAAATAAATAATTGTGTTTTCAATCAACAGCATTTTTAACTCTCTTTTCTGACAAGTGTCTGACCAATGGCTATCCAAATCTCAAAGTATTTAATATAATATTTTACACGTTTGTCAAGGTTCAACAAAGATACAGTTAATTGTTTGTAAATCTGATGGATTTGGTACATGTTGTCATCTTGTAATAAAAAAATATATTTCAGTATTCTTCTTTTCAGACTACAAAAGTGATTTTTCCATCCAACATATTTCTAAATCGCAAACATATGTCTCCATTCTCTTCTCTCTTGACTCTGATCCATACTGCAATATGAGAGTCTTTCTTAAACCAAATGTGTTACTGTTTCTCCAGTTTTCCCTTCCTGATTAACTTTTTTTGCTAAAGGATATTGAATGTTTCCTGATAGGACTAACATCAATGTTAACCAGTAACAATCAGGAGAACGTTTTAGCTTTTGATAACTTATGTAACCTGTATTTTATTATCATTATTATATTCATATACATTAACCAGGATGATAAGAGCAATGTCTATATCAAGGTTAAATATAACACGTGCAATGTCTGCCATATCAGTTATATTGTCATTATTAGTTTCAGTTTCAGCTTATTATAATTACACAATGTGCAGTACAAGCATGCAGTTTAACCTTGCTCCCACCAAAGTGTTATATACATTCACTGCTCATTAAAACTCCTTAACAGATGTTATCAGATGATAATTAAATAATTGAGCACACATACTTCTGTAGTTACTGAACAAAAACTATGATAAACCACTGTTAAAGGTGGGGTAGCCTATGTAATTTATTTCAGAATCACTTTCTGTTATATTCCGTGGAATGCTCTTAACATCCCGATAGCAATGAATATATTAAATGCTTTGACAATAAATACATACAAATATGTCATCTGTGGAAGCCGTGGCGCTGTAAAAAGCACGACCAATCATTTTAGCCGGCTCG